GTTAGTATTTTTTTAATATAGTGTAAAAACTAATGTGTATTGCTGGTCTTTGACCGTAATAAAGATTTTACTCCTTACTCCTTGAGCCAGGAATATGATGCAGCTGCTCAAATAGCAAGTGCTAATTTGCATTATATTACTATGAGTATAGAACTCAAATCATAGGTAGTAATTGTTCCTTTCTACAGATTCCATTTGGAGAGGTGGGTACCATAGTTCAAAAAGACTGTGACAGGTTGGCGCAAGCTCAGATGAGGGGAACTGTAAAGGGTCTGAAAGCCAGCCCTCTGGTGTCCCCAGGGTGCTTTTTCAGAAGGCAACTGGACTTTTGTTGTTCTTGAAGACGTTTGGCTTTTCATCCAAGAAGCTTCTTCAGTTCTGACTCAATGGTGGAGGACCCGTTTAAAATACTCAGGGGGTCTTGAGGGCACAGATAAAGCTCCAAGTGGCCTCATGCCACTCAGAAAGAATGCTAACAGCCAGATGACTGCAAGGAATATTAAATCTTTCCATCGTCCATAATTCAATCAGAACTGAAGAAGCTTCTTGGATGAAAAGCCAAACGTTTTCATGAAAAACAAGTCTAGTTGCCTTTTTAAAAAGCACCTTTGGGACAACCATGACGTCATAAACATTCAGCCCTATGGTGGGCAGCAAAAGAATCTGGGCAGAAAAAAGCAAAAGACTGAAGGGAGAAAATGACGGAAGTCTTCAATTATCTGAACAGCTGTCACAAGAAAAAGGAATAGATTTATTTTCCATTGACCCAGAGGGCGAGACCAGAACCAATGGGTTAAAATTACAAGGAAGGAGGTTTTTGTTAGGAGAATCTTCCTGACTATATGTGTCATCAGCCAATGGAACAGGCTGTCACACAAAATAATGATTTGTCTTTCAGTGGAGATCGTCCGGCAGAGTGGAGATAGTCAGAAAGGCTCTAAGGGATCCTGTATTGACTAGGGTGTTTGACACTAGAACAATGCTTCTAATGTCATTTTCTGTGACTAGACTATTGAGATTCATGTGATTATGGCAATATAAAAATCTGACATTAAATAGGCAGTGATGCCATGTGCCAAAAATGGGCTGACTTATTGCAGTGATGCCATGTGCCCAGTGGGCTGGCAGATACACTGTAAGTTGATCATGATCTGTGGAATCCCACTGCCTTAGTGAGAAAAAAATGTATTATCTCCCACCACCGTAGCGTAGTAGTAAACCCCTCAAAATATTGAGTAAGAGGAAATGGCACCAGAGCAATTCCCTTGTCTTTTGTCTCTTGGCAATGCACTGAATGAAGGAATCCTAACTCCCTGCTTGTTTATTTTCCTTGCCACCCAGACTCCAGTTGCAGTACACGTTGGATCCAGGTGAATTGCCTCAAGAATGCTTTTCACCTTTGCTCGGACAGAGCCTGGAGGCCTAATGGCCTTTAATCACGGAGGACTGCAACCTGAGTAGAGATATGCTGCTAAAAAAGAGCCAGGTCAAAGGCCAAGCAGGGGATGCCTCCCTCCATTATTGGAAAAGATTAGTCTGAACTAACAAGTTACTTTCCTACTGGTTAATGTTTGCCTAGCTCACCTTATCATATTCCCCATCCTCACGGAGGAAATGTGGGTGTTTCCTGCATGCCAGGGTCAACTTGAGAAAGGAATTCCTATGAAATGGTAATGGTAATTGTGTTGAGAATCTTTCCTGTACTATAATTACTAGGGCAAGATTTTGAACAGGGGCAGTACAAATCAGGTTTCAATATGCATAAGCCTTTCCCCATTATCTGGTGCTCAACATTTTGTGCCTCCACGGAGAGCCGCCAGAAGGCCCCACTCTGTTGGGAATTTCCAGCAGATGGCAAAACTCATTGGTTTTGACAGCCTTTGGAGATCTGAGATAATATGTTGTTTCTGTCTGGCTGCTATTTTTGTGTAATGTTTGTGCGCTGATTCAGTACGTTTTTCATAATGGATGATTTTAGTCTTGGTTGTTGCAAGCTGCAATAGATGTGTGGCTGAAGAGCTGCCTATAAATCTAACAAGAAATAAATATTCTCCAGACCTCCAAAACCAACCCACAAGAAGAGGCCTAACTAGGAAAACATTAGAGCCTATTCTGGGCAAATTATGGAGTAGCTAAGATGAGAGCAGGAAGCGAAGGGTGATTGTATGAATGAATAAGTCTTGTATTACTTCGTTTTCTCCTGTAATCTACAACTCTTGCCACTATCCATTACTATTTTCTGGAGCCCCTTTCTTTCTGCCTCTATACAATGCTCCTCCTATTTCCCAAACCAGCTGCAAATTTACCTTGGAATCTAATTCCCCCTTTAAAAAGCAATCTCCATTCAAACCTCAACTGCTTTTGCTGTTCCTCCCCACCACGCCCCACCCCACATTAGCTTAGGAAAGATTCTGAAGTACTGGGGAAAGAAGCAACTTCCACCCCAAGGACCGCTGTCTCCTGTTTCCATTATATGATTCTTCAGCATTTATCTCGATTCCTCAACATCCCACAAATATTTTGTGGTCATCTTCTTGAGGCACAGTCCTCTCCCCCATAAAGGCAACCCATTCCCAAGTCTTATTCTCACAAATATTATCAGCTTACAATACATCTAGTAAGCAGGACTCTCCGTCGCAAGCATCCACACTCACCCCACATCTGTGGGAAAAGACACACACACACACACACACACAAACAAAAGAGGAAGCTGATGGGGTGGGTAGCTAGAGCAATTGTTTAGGATCACGTTGGGCATGGGATAGTCCTCAGCCCTCAATTTGCATCCAGAGCCTCTTTCCACCTTCTGTTGGGAAAGATAAGCACATGGGCAGGGATTGAAGTGTGTTGCTATGGAAACACCATTGTCACCACCTCTTTTCCATGTTCACTGTCAGGCATCTTTCTTGCGATTTCAAGCCAGTCTACAATCATTCATAACAACATATAATATAACAGGACATAAAGTCCACTACAGTAAAAAAGCAATAGATTATATGAGGCTATTCATGGCTTGCCTCTATTCAGGTTTAAAAGTTAAAACTGACAAAGTGTGAGTCCAATTTCCCTCCCCCCCCTACTCAAACCCCATGGTGGGATAAGCAATGGGTACTTTTAAACCTGCAATCACACACAATGTAGATTTGCCACTGCTAAGATGGGCAGTCAGCCATATCTAAATATAAAATAGTTAAGCAAATAAGGCCCTTCTCCAATGGGGACTTTTTCAGCCCTCCATCCTCTTCTAACCAGCTCCAAGGCCTCCTCCATATCTTTTAAACCTCATAGGAACTTAAAAGGGGTCTTTTCCAGTGCCCTCCCCTCAGGCCGGTGGCAGTAACCAGCTTCCCAGAAGCTCAGACGCAGAAGTGCATTACGCCTGTGAAACTCTGGTTTCCTTCCCTTTGCCCTTCCATTTCTTTCTGGAGGACCCCTATCCAGACAGCTTAACTTTGCCCCAGCCCAGCATCTGCCATAGTCTGTAGAGTCAGCTGTCTTACCTGTGGCGGCTGGCCACCCGGGCCCCATTGGTTGCTTGTGCTGCCCCTTGGAGCTGTGTGAAAGGCAGGTTGTTTCCTGTGTACAGATTGTACCTGGGAGGGTAGTTCATGCCCCAGACCTCCCTGGCCAGGAGGCCCCACCAAATGTAGAGCCATGCGGTGGCCCCAGGGCCGGCCATTCCCAGTTCTTGATGATCCTCTCCCTGGGCCCCAGGGTCAGCTGCACATGGCCTGGGCCCCTAAGCCTTGGCAGGCAGGGTCAGTGATGATGGCAGAGCGGGAGTCCTCCTTTCTTTCTGGCCCTCTGTCCCTGACGCGCAGCCTGCAGGCACGACGTGGGCCGGGAGGGCTCTGTGCAGCCGCTCACTCCTTACACACTGACAGCTTTGCAAACTTCCCAGAGCTGGCTTGCTCACTCCCCCCAACTTCCTGCCTGGCAGCTCTGAGACCCAGCGCCCTGCTCCCCCCCCCACCCGCACCCCCCCCACACTAAGCCTTCCCTATCCTGGGCTTCCCTGCTCCCTGCCCAACCGCTGGCTCCCTCACCCCTGGGCTGGCCTTGGCCCTCTGAACATCCCCTCCACCAGCCAGCCTCATTCGAAATGGGGATTTTCTGCAGCCTCAGTTCCTGCTTGGCCACCCCCTCCCTCCTGTGCTGGGTTTGGGCTTCTCGCTCACATCTGCTTCTCGTTACAGTCAGGACGGGAACGGCCGGGGGGGGGGGGGAGTGTGCAGGAATGGGAAAAAACGAGAGGGGTTGTGCGTGAAGCCCGACCAGCCCAAGGGAGTCAGCACAACCCTGCTACTGAGTGAGGTCCCTGCCACAGGGCAAGAGGCCACGCACCCACCATATGTGGACCCCGTGCCTCCACAAACCACACTTCCCCACCCCAGAGCTGGGGAAATGATCTCAGCTCTGGGTCCGATTCATGGGCCTTGGTGTCTGCTGCCCCTCCAGTTCTCCCACGTCACTAGCCAGGAGAGTTTCCAGAAAGCGGCCTGTCTGGCTAGTCCCCAAAGAGATGTGTGCATGTCTGTGTGTGAGAAAGAAACATATCTGAGACAGGGGAGGCTTTGTCTCTGAGAAGTGAGGTGGTATTCTCTGACTCGTTTCCGTAGTCTTGCTGCTCTGCTCTTCCCTGGCCAGCCTCACCTGCTCCCTTTGACTGCAGTCCAGCCGTTCCACGCTGGGGTTTCTTTCCAACGTCCCAAACAGGATGGCAATGAAACGTAGAGCCTGCAACTGTTGGAGAGAACTGATTTTACACAAAGGCTCTCAGTCCATCTGGCCCCAATGGCGCTACGCCCCTTAGCCTCTAACTTCCCTGTTATATAGGAAGTTTTTGCCTGGGAGGCTCAAAATGCCTGAGGGCTTCCAGACAGCAGGGCTAAAATGCTGAGCAAAAAAAAAAAAAAAGCAGATACCAAAGTTGAATCTCCCTTAGAAGGACTTGAGACTGAATTCCCCATTCCCTTTATATGGAAAACAGAGCATGTCAGAGTGAGATATCATCAAGTAAGGCGGATTTCGTGGGCAAATGCATATTATTTGACCTCTCTCTACTAACAACTTGTAGCTGTTCCCAGGACTGTCCTGGAAACCTTAGATCACATGACACACAAACGCACGCACACCACCCTGGAAGGAAGAAGTGTGTTTTCTCCAAGCTTCTAGAAGGGCATCAATCTCAATGCTATGTTCTTATATCTCAGTAGAACTGGCAAAAGGAGATGGTATGATATATCAGGGCAGCAGCACCAATGGTGGGATTCAAACTTTTTTTACTACTGGTTCTGTGGGCGTGGCTTGGTGGGCATGGCTTAGTGGGCGTGGCAGGGGAAGGATACTGCAAAATCCCCATTTCCTCCCGAGCAGCTGGGACTCAGGAGGCAGAGAATAGATGAGGGTGGAGCCAGTCAGAGGTGGTATTTACCAGTTCTGACCAGTTCTGGAGAACCAGTAGTGGAAATTTTGAGTA